ATATTAGTTGAAAGCAACAAATTTTGTTATGATTTATTACTTAATTTTAATTTAAGGAACATTCTATTACTCATATAGAAGAAGTTTTACGATATCAGTGCACTGCATGTAACATTTCATTTGAAACACGTGACCTGTTCGCCATTCACGTACAGCTTGTTCACGACCGACCAACACTATTAAATCTCCCATACAATAATAACCAGCAAAATGTTGTAACAGTTAACTCAAGTAAAAGGCAAGGAATTACTGATATTCAGGTGCTTAACTTTTCCTTCTTAAGCACTTTGATTGATTCATAAGTTATCTTCACAAAAACTCAAAATTTTCGGCTGTTCTAGATAACAACGTTAAGCTAATCCAGTACTTTGGCTTTTTTGGCACGAATTAGTTCATGATATTATGAAGTGAAAGAATACTTCTTGGTATTATTGCATAGACAATCAGCCATTTGCGATAAACAAATCAAAATTTATGAGAGCGACAAAAATCGTTCAAACTATTTAAAATATGCATAAATAGAATATTTTAATCAAAAAATATGACAGTATATTATAAATAGAACATTTTAAGTAATAGTTGTGCCAGTTGAAGGTAGGAAGTCGGTTAGTCAAATGTATGGTATGTGATATTAAATTTGAAAATGAAGATAAGTTGGACTTCCATCGCTTAATTATGCATTGCAAAGTAAGTTCTTTTAATTCACATAAAATTATACTTATAGTTTCGCATTTCACTTGGCAAGAATTCATTATTGAGCTCTCGCAGCGCCTTATATATCACTGCAAATTCTTTCTAAGTAAAGCAGTAGCCTCAAAAAGTATTGTACTACTGGCAAAGTGTTTTTAAAAGTTCCAAAGAGAAATGAATGGTTTAAAAGCAATCAGATATTAGTGAGATTGAGAATTGTTTAGATTACTAGCAGCTAATTCTTAATTTTTATTTTTTTGGGTGATACTGATATAGGTATAGGTACTTCGATATAGATATAAGTAAGTACTCCTGTATAGGAGGTACAGGTAATCCCTATACAGGTACTCCGATCAGATCGATGTGCAAATTGTCAGGCAGAAATTCATACAGCTGCTCAATTCAAAGATCACATGCATGAGCATATTCGGAAGGAACGCAACATAATGTGTATTATTTGTCGGCAAGCTCTTCGGAATGATACGCAAATTGATGTTCACGCAAAATATCACATGCAGATGATTCATAATAGCTCAGAATTGAATGAGCGGTCTGAAATATGTCAACAGGTTAACAATTAACGTGAAAATTATTCTAAATTATAGACAAGAAGATGAGAGCAGAAATAAATGAAAAAAAAGCCAAGACGGATAATCTACAGATTATTATCTCACCTTTTTTTTGTATGATTTATGTGCTTTCACTGAACGATTCTTGAAGCATTTTCCGAAAGAATCACTGGAAGTTCATATCGTGGAGCATTCTAGTCAAGGAGATTGTCCATACTGTGAGAAACACTTCTCAGACATTCACTGCTTGCTCTCACACATTGATTCAAAGCACTCTAATCAGCAAGCAATTATTCAGTGCCAAACATGTCATAAAGCTTTTCATTTCAAGTCTCAGTTACAAAACCATCGTTGTCAAAGCAGTGTGCAAGGAATATTCTTCAAGTATGCCAACTTTTTAACCTGGCAAGTTCACAGGTCACACGTTACATATATTTAAACAAAGCAAAACAGCAAACCATATTGTAGTTCGCCTCGGAAATGCGCATCACCGAAAGCGACAGAACAGAACGCTTTTCAGTTTCCATACTGTCCTGAGGTAGGATACTTACATTCAGCTACTTTTTGTTCGCAGACAAAATTATTATTAATATTTTTGGATTTAAAAAAAGTGAATTAGTTATCGATTGAAAAAAGTTGTTAATTAGTTGTTTGAAAAAAGTGAATTAGTTGCTAATTCTGAATCATTTGTTAATTTTTTTAGGGTTAAATTTTAAAATAATAAGTAATCCTTTAATCTCTTCTTAATAACTATAATAATGACCTATTATGTTGTAGCAAAGATTAAACGTTCTGAGAGTGAAGAAAAATTTACATAATCACTACGTCAATGTATTGTATAATAAGATAGCAAAGTTTGTGGAAGAAGAAATTTATTTGGATATTTCAGTCAGAAAATGCTTTGCAAGGCAATTTTCACGCGCATTCAAAGCAAGCATTTTGTTGTGATCTCTGCACGCTGACTTTTTCCTCTCACACACGCTTTGAAGCACATCGTAAAACACACGTCGATGAAGAAGGCTGACTATATGTGCCAAATTTGCGATTTCAAATTTTTGAAGTAAATAAAATAACTTTGATAAAATTGTATTTGTATACTTTTTATGGTATCCTTTAATTAGTTTAGTAATTAGTCGCTAGAAAACACGTACGAAATATTTGAAATATTAAGTAAAAAAGAGTGGGCGAAGAGAGCAGTACTTTCTGTGCGTCATTTATTTGCACACGAATGAGTGCTGTGCAATCTGCAGAAAATTTTGCAACAAACGATAAATATTCCTTGGAATTTCTGTACAAAATAAGTAAACACTTATTTTTTCACATCTTCAAATAATCTTTACAATAGCTAGAAAAGATTTTTTTTGAATAATTTGCAGTGCTAATGAAATTTAATTTTCTCAATACTAATGAAATTTGCAGCCGTAACGATGCACGTGAAGGTCCATGATAACAATAGAAGTACACGTTATAAATACACGTAATCAATGATCATTTTGCAAGTTATTGGGATAGATCTCATCAGTAAACAGTACTAATAAAGAAATGTTCAGAATGAACGAAATGAAATTTTTTTCTCAAATTCTATTTTAAACATCAGTAAAAATAAATCGAAATATGTTGCATGCAAAGATTATTTAAATGCATTACAACATTGTAAAAAATTATTCATAACAAATGCCTAATTATACAGACTGACCTTTTACCCTAACTTTCGCTTGCTTTCTATTTAACAGAGTATTTTCATTACACGCATTTTCACAAAATCTCTGCTGACATTAAACGCATAAATATATAACTATAAAAATTTCAATGAATACCAACCAATATAGTTGAAGTATAATTTACGTAAACAATGCCACCACGATTATGCGTGGCGGAAAGAACGTTATGGAGGACTGATAAAATAGAATCAAACAATGCCCGTATTTTTACTGCTTGTAAACGATATCGAATAAGTGTTGTCTTTTTGAGAGAGGGAATAAAATATACATCATGAATTGGTGTCAGTGTATGTTCAAACTTAGGCAACACACGTTATTTCCAGTCATGTAAGTCCCAAGATGTTTCAGAAGACAACTTGCATCGTATGAGCTCTGAAGCAAAATGTCATTCAGTTCATGCCTGCCATACTTATAGCAATCATAAACACTTACGTGAGTTAAATGTTGCCATAAAGAGTGAAGTATTAGTAGCGGTATGAGAGAAGAAGAAGACTTGTTATCTCTTAATCTTTTAGCATCATTTTATCACTTTTTTTTGTGAGTTTTATATATATTTTTTGAGTTCGTTGTGGGGTATAAAGTACTGACGTGAGTGATAAAAGACGTTCTGTCACGTTTAGTGGGAAAGAATGGTGGACTCCTGTATAAGCTTGATTCTGCTAGAGTATGACGTTTATTGAACGAACCTATTTCTGACGCTTATTGCACAAACACAATTATCGCGAAATAATAGCACGGTAGATAGCGTGGGAATGCAGTGATTGATTTTCTATGATAGTTTGCCTGTCTGAGTGCAGAATTCATTCGATCATATGGTCTCATAGTGGGTATTTGATGCCATCTGTCGTTTGCTGTTCGCATCCCCCTCTCGTACTGCCTCTTCTGTTACGTGTAAGCATGTAAATAGTGCTTGTTGTGTGCGCGCAGAGTTAGTCCTTCACGTTTGTTATTGCGTTTCCCTGCTTGTTGTTGATTATTATTCTGAATCTATATTGTCATCTTTTCAAGTCTTTTTTATTTTTAGTTTTATGCACATTGCATTGTTCATACTGTCATATGCGTCATGTATTTGCATTTCGTTAGAATGTAATTTGCATAAAATTAGCGTTTATAAAACTGACAGAAAGACGTAATTATTGTAATTGCTCATTTTGTTAGTGCTATTGCGTGTGGTTGGACTGCCATTTCTGAGGTTGGACTACTTGTGAATGTTGAAAATGAACTCTTAGAATCTCTTTCACTTTTAAATTAGAGCAGAAAGCGATACGCGTGACTAAGTAATCTATCTTTATCGTAAGTTTTTCTTATTCGGTTGTTACACTTAATGCAGAATTCAATACTTGTATTATGTTTGCTTCATTTCTATATGTGATCACTGATCACATTTCTTTGTATATTTATTTCTTAGCAACAATTCGTCTCTCTATTCAGCTGTAAGTTCCACTGTACAATTGATGATAAGATTTTACTAACTCCTTGCATTTCTTATCCATATCTTATGTAAACGTATCACGTGTATGTTTGCGCCACGCATGCATACATGCGCACATACTCACTTGTTTTGTGATACATTGAGTTCTGTAGCGAATTTGAGTTGCCTAAAAATATTTAAATAATAGTGATTTGTTCTTAGTGATCATTTGCTAATAACTTTTTGTTTTGATTAATATATTAAGGCATATTTTGGGATGAATGCTTTTCACTGTGGAATTGCATTGGTTACTAGGCAGTTAATGGGTGATTCGTGATTCATAATTCATGATTCATGTATGGTTTGGAGAGCAGAGTGAAAGTAGCTGAATAAGCTTATCATTTTGTTCATGTTTTCTTCTTTTTAACCAGCCAGTTTCTTGGATGCTTTGTAATGACTAACTTCCGTAATTTACTGTAGTTTGCAATTACGTGCTATTTATTTCAACGTGCATTCATTTAAAAATTCATATTTTCAGTCATGTACAGAAAAGAATAGGTAATCACTTCGCTACGTTTTGTCATCTTTGAATTCTTTCTGTATGCAAAATTTCGTACTTTTCGTTTTCTCTGCTATGAGAAATTGATTTCTGTTCATTGTTTACTGCCTACTGCACTTTCATTTCATCTTTTTCTTATTGAATTTGCACATAAATTTTTGCTATTGCTAAACGCATTCTTTATTTCACGCAATTTCCAAACGTTTAGAGTCGTTACAGAATACTTTTTCGATGGCAGTAAGCTTTAAGTTGATGTTTTGTACAACATGCACTTACTGTATTTGTATTTTTTGGAACTGTCGAAGAAAAGTGCTGCAGAATATTCTGTTGAGTGCTACAGAATATTCTGTTGAGTGCTACAGAATTTCGTAGAAAACGTTGTGTAGAGAGCGTAATGATTTTGAGTTGTTTAGCAATTTAGTTCTATTAATATTCGATGCTCGTGTACATTTTATGTTTTCAGTAACGAAATGTCGAAATCAAATCAAATGTTTGAACGTCATCAAGGCCATCATGTAGTAGATATCGATGATTTCTGGAATGCCAATGCGGATAAGTATAAATGTTGTTGCCGTAAAGTACACGTTGTACGGGCATCTCTATACATTGCGTATGCACAAATGTTAATTACATTTGTGTTTGCACTTTTCTTCGGTTTCCGATATATCCAAGTTGGTTTTCATTCAACAATTACAATGTATATCGTGGTAACTGATTTTTGCTAATTGAATGAAAAATTTTGATTGGTGGTGAGATATCTTCCTTTCTACATTAATTATCGTACATTTAGGCCATCACTGGACGACTGGCGCTAGATCATTGGATGAATCAGTTTGGCGAACCGCTTGTGTGTAAGTAATTCTGACATAAGTCATGAAACTTATTCCAGTAATATATTTAATTTTGCGTTATTAGCGCGTGATTTTTTAATTTAGTATGTAAGCAGCTTAAAATTAGAGTCGCAAATGGAAAATTAAAAAAACAGTTCAAGAACATGGAATTTATTTCTTAAATCTAATTACGTGGTATTTTAATTTTTTTGCTTGGATTGAATTGCATTCCAGTTTCACTTCTTTTTGCGATCACACTACAAATGTTGGTTGGTTTATTCCTAATTCATGGAATACGAACCGAACGTCGCACACTTTTGCTTCCATATATTGTACTGGCTTTGATGTCTGCTGTTCTTGGTTCTTTTCAGGTTGTTTTTCAGTTGTTGGCTTGTCTATTATATGCGTTTCTTTCTTGAGTACATTTGAAATTCGTTTCATTGTTCTCTATCACATGAAAGGAAGTTAACTATTTTTCAGGTTGGCCATGACCTTTCTGATTTCCTGCAAACTTCGGCACAGCCACAGATGTTTAATAACTAGTTAGTTATTTACCTAGATTATTAATTTTGTTTAGTATAATTTTTTCTTCAGTACATCAATAAAATTTGTTTCATATCCACGATTATCATTTTTAGCAACTTTTTCGCTCATTTGGTTGGAACAATGTTTCAAATGTGGTGCGTTTTAACCATCTGGCGATGCTACAGTTTTCTGGGAGACAAAAAAGTGAAATTTTGTTTTATTAAATCCTTGTGCAGCTTCGTAAACAGAAATGAAAGCTGTAATGTTTTCCGGTCACTTTTCCTCTTCACTTCGGTTCTTTCTTTTATTGAAGTCTGTTCTTGGTTCTGCCATTTCTCTATAAAAATTCTGTCTAATGTTTCAATCACTAAAGTTTTGAAAAATTGGTAAGTTAAGCTTTCAACTTTTAAAATGATGATATTTAGGTTGTGCAGCATATTGGAGACCAGCTATCTACGACCCACGTACCGTTCCGCTATGATAATATTCAACATGAGTATAATGTAATGGTGCAGCCACCACCGTATGCCGATACCGTCATTAGTGCTGACAAACAACCTCTTACCACATAATTTTGTATCGAAAAATGGTGTTTAGAAAAACTTTGTTTATGTCAATCACTCTTCCAAAAACTACAAGATTATTCTTAATTATTTGTAATTTTTCCAAATAAATGCAGCTGAAAGCATTCTTATTATATGTTTTGTATGAAGTCTTGATTATGTCTTGTGTTCTTGTAATCTTCATTGTATCATTTCATTCCACTTTTATTATCCAATCTTATCTCTTTCGTGGTATTTGTAGTTCGTCGCTAATTATGAATTAAATATTACTCCATTCCACATTTTTTTAATCTCATGCCTAATTGTGAAGTTGAGAGATTGTGCCCTCCATAATGAGAATATCGAAATGTGAGATATGTCAGTACTGATCTCTATCTGTGCATAAGTGTCCATAATGAATGATATAGCTTATATCAATTTTTCAGAATTATTCTAGATCACAAATTTGAGCAGTTTAACACCGTAATAATACTCCTCTCACGAATTGTAGTTTAAGATTCATTCTTTAAAAGAAGCGTAATCTTTCTTGCATAGTTTTGGATGATTCATTATGGACCTACAATTGCTTCTCGGAATTGATTTTCACAAGGAGTGTTCAATTTTCGAATTTTCCGGCTGCACCATGTGTATTGTTCTCCAGTGGTTTGTCTTGGAACTTTTTTGGCGTGACTAAGAATGGAATTTGAAAATTTGTCTCCTTTTGTTCATTTCTTCGCTCTGAATAAACATTATTTTCTCTTGGTGCGGTACTTTGTATTTCCAGAGAGGATAGACATCTTGAACATAAAGTGAGTACTCGTGATTATTTCTGAAAGATGTCATGCGGATAGTGGCTGAGAAGTTGGTAATACTCGTCAAGTGTTTAGTTCAATAATCTGTTGGGAATAGATTCGTGGCACTCAAGAATGTGCTTGCGACATTCGACATCTTTATGGCTTAAGTCAACAAATTTGTTTTGCTAGAAGACTAAATGTTTGCTATAATTACTTGTCATTCGATATTGTAGTATATCTGTAACGACCATGGATAAAACCATGGGAGGAATGTTTGATCACAATGCGTACAGCAAGTATAATCAGTGCTGCTCTTAAAACAGCTTCCGTTCAACTGTTAATATTCACAAGTATTCCTTAGCCAAGATAATTATGCTTAATCTTATCTTAAAAGTTCATGTAGATGAGAGATCTCGTACTGTTGTATATTAACTTAACATCTTTATTTCTGGAACAACATATTACTTACAGAAACAGAACATGTATAGCATCGAATGGGAAATATTACAATTGAAGAGAACTAGAAAAACTTATGTATGGGATGGACCGCGTTAAATTTTCTCGTTTCGCTAGGAAATATGTCAGACAGAAATCAGTACTATGTTAGGATCGTCATGGTATTATAGCCATAATATATTCATTTCAGTTCGCATGCTTAAAACAGTATTGGAAATTTCTTTCATATAGCCATAATATATTCATTTCAGTTCGCATGCTTAAAACAGTATTGGAAATTTCTTTCATATTCTTTATTTTGAATACTTATACTTTTGGACTAGATATTTCGCTACTATATATATTTAGTGAACATCACTTACATATATTAAATCCATTTCTTATTAGTATTTCAGATATTCAATATTTTACCATTTTTACAATGCTCATTATTAATGAACTTAGTTTATGTCATTTTTTTTGCTGACGTATCATGCACAATTTTTAATACCTCAGATATCAGAAATATGAATGAAAACAAGTTGGAGATGATATTGTCGAGGATTGTTGTGTTTTACTTTGTAGCCATTACGAGAGCTATTGAGTTAACTTTTGAGTTGCCTGACAATGCAGATCAATGTTTTTTTGAAGATATAAAAGCGGGTGTTGATTGTGTTATTGAATATCAGGTACTTACTTTACTTTTGTGTGTCTTATTGATGTATTACTGCATAATCAAAACTCTGTACACCGATTCATCAACTTCTTTTATAAATAAAAATGCTGTCAGTCGTACTATATATATGAATAATACATATATTTTCAAATATTTTTAGGTTGTGGCAGGCGGACAGTATGATGTAGATGTGACACTTGAAGATCAAGAGAGCAAAATTTTATATAAAGGTGTTAAAAAACATGAAGACACTTTTTCATGGAAAACTGAAAGAGAAGGAACTTACAAGGTTGCGGAATTTGCTTTTGTTTGGGATTATACGAAGCTAATATTTAACAGTTATGAATTTTCTACTTTCAGGTATGTTTCTCGAATGAGTTTTCAACATTTTCTCACAAAATTGTTTATATGGAGTGGCAAAAAGGAGACGAGAGTCAGTTCTTTATTTAGTTTGATTTTTGTCAATTTCAAAAAAAAAAAAAACAGAAAGCCAAAACAAAAAATTATACGAAGCATTGCGTCATGACTTTTTCGCTACATTTATACCCTTTCTCAGTGATAGCAGTTCAAAAACTACTAATATATATTTTTTTACAGAAGTAAGAATAACAGAATAAATAACATACATCATTAAATTCTCGTCTTTCAAGTAATATATTTCTTATGCAGTTGCAAGACTCTGCGAGACTAAACTTGATATAAATCTAGACATCGGTAAAGCACCTTCACGTTTAACAGCAATGACACAGCTAGACACGTCTGCGCTAGCGATTGGTGATCGCCTGAAACTTATTGGTGATTACCAAACACATCATCGTCTAAGAGAAGCTACAGGACGAAAACGTGCGGAAGACCTAAATGAACGTGTTTTGTTGTGGTCTTTAGGACAAACTGTAGTTATCATTACTTTGGGTATCGTGCAGGTAACTATATTGACTAATTTTTGAGGATGATCGTACTAAATTTAACTTTCGCGCAGAGAAGCTTTTGAGTGATAATTCTTTTTTAATGCTTGTATATAAAACCTTCAAGTATTAGTATAATGCATCATGTCAGAAATAGTCATAGTTCATTCAGACATGCCATTTGTATGGTTCCTCTTTTGGCGCGATGTAAGTAGCTGAAGCAGCGTTATTATTAGCGGTATCTTATCTACCCTTCACCTTTATAAAGTGATATAAACTTACATACAATAATACAGTGACCAATATGCCTTACTTTGTTTTTTTGATCGAAAAACGAATTGCCTGTTGATTTAATTTATAGGTGCTGCTACTTCGTTCATTTTTCACCGAAAAACGGACTGCCTACTGATGAATTTTTTAGCAAGTAACCTGTCAGTTTATAATTCTTGTTTGTTGTTCTTAGTTTTGTAATTTTTATTTTGCTCCAAACAGTCACACGACTCGTCATTTGATTGCTTTTCTAGAGGAATATGTGGAACATCTTCCATTCCAGCTAGTGGTTTTGTCGGAGCATCTTTTAGTTTATTCGTATATTTCTGAAATTTTGTAAAGTTATTCTTTGTTGCAATCACTTTTCAGCTGCTTATTTAGAAGTAAATATTTCAAATGTTTAAGTTGTAATTATAAATTATTTCACTAGAGAAAAACTTCCTGTTACCACCGTTTTATGACTTAGGAATCTTCTGAGTTTGTTTTTCAGGTGTTTACTCATAGGAAATTAACATAACAAGAGTTTTATTGTCTTGGACAATTGCAAAATTTTTATCTGAAGATGTTAGTTATTACAGGTTTTTATTTTTGATAGCAGTTATTATCAAGCAAAGCAAAACTAAGAAGGTGCAATTTTTAAAGTTTTATATTCAGAGAGTTCTGTTCATTTTCATATTTTTGTTTTCTTCTTGATCTTTCTACACGTTCTCATTTTGAAACTTGTCACGTTTGGTGAAACATTATACTTGATACTGTCACACTTGTAAAAACATTATACTTGATACTGTCACACTTGTAAAAAAATAAACAAGGAAATATTGTAATTGTGTCTTTTTCTTTTTTTAGAAAAAAAACCTGCACAAAGTTTGCATAATAGCAAAAAATATCTAGAGGTTGGAGATACTGTAGCGCAAACTGACGCATCGCTTGCAAGGTCTGAAATCAGGTTACTCTAAGATGCCATATAGTTGAGATGGAAAAGTGAAAAAATTCTTAATTTGGGGTTCGTCAGAGTTAGCAGTTCCAAAGTTACATATCCTTTGAGTAGCAATGGTTATTTGATTCTACTCAAGTTCTATTATATGAAATAATCTGAACGCCAAAGGAATAAATCTTGACCAGTTGAACTTTAAGTCAGAATTAAGTACAAGTCAGTTACCAGAACTCAGCAGCTTACAATAGTAAATTTACTTCGTTGTAGTCTTGCGTTCTAGCCCATTTGATTCGTTCAATGAGATCGGAGCCGTTAAATTCAAAATAATGTAATCCTTCTTTTAGGTCGGCGTAAAAATGCTCATAGTACAGCGATTTTGACTTAAAAATTACGCTATCTCCAGCCAGCAGGAAAGGAAGACGGTATGCCGCAACAGTGCCATCGATGCTCAGTACAAATTTATGCTAAAATATCTAGTAGATTATAATTACGTTTCAATTATGAGATGCTAGAATACGTGATTTTGCAAATTATATCATGTCTACTTGAAAAAAGTCCGGGAATGACATCCTTGCCATCGTTGGTCCATATTGGGATTGGTTGAAAAAGAAATACTTGGTGATCCCTGCATCCAGAAGATCAGGATTTAACCGAGACAGCTTTGCTACTTCAAGTCGCAGCTGTAGAAACCAATTCTTCAGCGAAATATTAGCAAGTACTTTCTCAAAAAACAAAATGTAATCTAAACATTCATGAAGCTCCAGGCAGAATATGTTTCCATGACGATTAGAAAAAAGTAGCTAGCCTCGTTAGAATCTCGACCTCGGAATACAGCACTGTCTTTTTTCTCCTGCCACTTATAGCGTTTTTTCCCTCTCACAGTGTGTATATCCAATGTGACAGACTCCAAGGAATCGATTACCGACTTCATTAATTCATACGTTGGCAGTACAATATCTCTAGTAGCTTTAATCATTTTTTAAAAATTTTCTTAAATTTAATCGCTTTCAAAAGTAATAATGCGACTTATTTGGCTAATTAAAGATGAAAAAGGTTGTAATTCGAAGCAAATCCGATTCCGTTTGTAATGACATTTTTCCACAAATTTTTATATTTTTAGAGACACAATCCGAGTAAATAAATCAAACACACACCTTCAGAACCGCACCAGCTAATTATTGGCTCATTATCAGCATATTTTTTCACAAGAGGCCAATCGCCAAGATTAAATATGAATTCCGTATTTGGCAGATACATTTTTCTCATCAACGAAGTAAATGCTGCATCAACAAATAATCGAAAACCTGTATGTTCTCCAAAGCATTCTCTGTGCAGCTAAAAAATTTGCACTCATTTTAAACGTCAAGAGAGAAGTAAATTATATAAATTTGAATCAGGTATTTTCTATTTAAACGACGATAGCACACTTTTTCATTTAAAAAATAGACATTTGTTCTATATTAGAAATTCAGAATGATATGAATTCCGTCAATAACTGCCCAAAAAGAATACAGCTTAGATAGGAATCCTCGCATGATGTTATCGCTTGAACTACCTACAAGCTAATCACAACATGATAAATAATGTGAAATATTTACGTTATTGTTAACAATTTGATAATGGCATAATGAGGATGCAAAGCGATTTTCGAATTTCGCCCATTTCTTTTTTACATTAATTAGTACTTGTTTAAAGTTAATTGTAGACCACTGGCTCAGATCTCTATCAAGCTGAGAATACTGAGATGAGCAATGAGCTTCCTCCATCCATTTTGAGATGTTCCAACTTGGACAATCACAATATTCCGAATAAAGTAAATTACCATCAGCTGAATAGCTATTGCTCATTAATGTAGTTTTTTTTTTTTTTTGCAAAAAATGCATCTAACACGGTCTTCCAGAAAAATCAACTTTACAGATATTTATTACTTATGCTCGTACAACTAAAATCATACCTTTTTTAATTAATATTGGAGAGTCACATAAAGAGACATTATCCAAAGTATGGATATTTATAATCATTTGCGGACAAGAAGACCACAAACGAATTCGCAATATATACGAACCGTCATAGTAATCAAGTAACTGAGATCTGTAATTTTCCTGCTCAAAACTAAACAAGCTGTTAGAAATTGGACTTGTTTAGTTTTGAGAAATACAAACACTATTTCAGATTTACTAACCTATAACGGCATAATCCAGAAATTGATATATTCAGTAAACCTATAGACTGTGTAATGTTTTTTTCACCGCTCCGCAACTGAATATGCAAGTATCGAACAGGCAAATCGACCTTTAACGCACCAAAGCATAATGCATTATCAACTTTTTCGCCCAAGTTCGACACGACCAAAAGAGTAGCAAGTAGAAAATAATCAAGCATTTCCCTATCATCTGCAAACATTTCCTTAACGTCTCAAGTCCAACCATACCTACTCTACTTTCCAAGAAGCGTCTAGTCTGAGCACTAATAAAACCAAACCGTCATTGCTAATCAATACTTCACAATGGTAAATAGAGCATTAATTACTGAATAATAATTAATGTTAACGTACTAACCAACAAATCGAAAGTGAGAAAGGTAAAACAGTACTCGATAATTGTAAACAAGACCAGTAGAAAATTTTGAAGGTAAAACTTCATGCACTGACAGCCAATTAATTTTAAAATTTATTAATTAATAACAGCTCAAATCTGACAAATAACAAGTCAATTACGTAAAACTAGCCATTGCAGAGCAGTTTTACAAGACAACAAATATTTCAACTTATCAAATTCATCCAAATTTTCACAACGAAATTATTAAAGATAGACAATTAATAAATAGCAACAATACACAAGGTCTTTTGAAGGCATTAAGACCATTCAACAGATTTGAAATCATTTCCACAGCCATAGTATTCAAACAAAATTTGAACACAAGAATAAATTGCCAACATATTGATAGTAGATACTTCTGTTAATTATTCTCCACTTTCTAATTTGATCTGAAATATATAGGGTTAATTTTAAGCCGCAATAAAAACTATGATTTTTCAGCAATTCTTTAGTTATTAATTTATTGTTAAGATCACTATGTATAATGCATAATGCAGAAGGTGCCAAATATTCTTCACATATCAGCATTAAATGATATCATAGCATTTTACACTTCTAAAAATTGATAAGTAGCTAACATATTGGATTACGCTTAATTAACTAAAGCCTGACTGAATGGCCATCAAAAGGCATATTCAAATCCCTATCAAATGACTAATATCATTAATAAAATGTGAGACACCTTTTTACTTTGTTTTACAGGAGATTCGCTACTTTCACCAAATTCGTTTCTAGTTTCACTTTTGCTTTTAGAGTCTTCATCCTGGTCATCCTCATCAAATTTTCGTTTTTTCCCAGTTTTAATTGTTGAGTCTGCACTAGGATCATAACGAATCGTCGTACTAAAAAAAGAATAAAAGATATATATTCTCAGTTAATAGTTACATAAAGTACTGCACTGCACATAAAACAGAATGAAATAACATAAGATGATGATTTCTAATATTTCAATTACATTAAACAAGAAAAAACCTAATACTGAAGCACTTTAAAAAAATTGCTTTAATAAACTAAAACATTATTGTCCACATGAACGTAAAATTCATAAAATAATATTATTAGCAAGACATTTAAATCCAAAACGATATAAAAAGTTTGAAGCACCTCTTAAATGTATAAGCATCATGCTGTGTGGGTTTTCCTGTTATCCTTTTCGGTCCTCGCTCTTGTTCCATCCGAATAAATGTTTCAATATAAGCTCGACTTTTCTCTCCCGGTTCTGTTCCCAGTGATTCATCCGCAAGAGCATCAATTCGAGTCGCTAATGACACCTTTGCTGCTAACTTCCGCGCCACCTAATTATAAAACATTAATTTGCATATGAAGTTAAAAAACTCAGGAATTAAAAAACGATTACTTACTTTTCCTTTTATTTTCGTGTTAGCCTGACCAATTAGCTGTGCATGGTAAATGATACCATATTTCGGAGTATCGCGTTTTGTTTTCAGTGCTCGAAAAAGAGCTTTCTCTGCACCTAATATCTGAACTGTAGATGCTGGGTATTTTGCAAGATTAACTAATGACCCTGCATGAGATATCAATCTGGCGCCGACCAATTCACCAAGTAGAATAGTAAGGTTGGGTGCTAGCACCACCATTCGATTCTTTAAGTACTCTGCCAATTCAACCCTGTATTTTGTTAGCTCAATAATCTGAAAACAGTAACAAAAATCTCCATTATTATCTGATCTATTTCAAATACATATATAATTACTACTTTAGGTTTAGATGCACTAAACACTACTAATGCGACTAAAGTAAACGGTAGTTAAACTATTGAATAGTAAAATCAATCCCACCTGTTCGCATAAACCCCTGATATGTAACATGTCTGAATCAGATATATCCGTACCCATACTGATTTCCGCTTCTTCTTTAACACGCACTTCCAATTCTTTTGGTAATACATCTGATAAATTACAATTTTCAGCATTTGAACGCATTCCCATTGTTTTCACAGTCTGAAAAATTATGATGGAAACAAGAATTGTGAATTACTTTAAACCAAATGATAGCAATACTTTTGCATATGCTTGATGATCCTGAATCAGTTTACTTAGTTCTGGAAAATGCCAACCATACCATTCACGACACCTGTAAGAGAAAACTTCATAAACCTTTGAAATTTAAATGATTACATTATAAATTGTTACAACAAAATTCCTGAGCAAGACTTATTTTTTTGAATGACCATAACCATAATGAATTAAGACCTCATGACGTAATTGTTTAATTCTTTGTCAAGATCATCAAGCAATGACACCGCTTGAATAATCATAGTATCTATTTTTTCCGGATTGAATTTTACCTGAAAACATTTTTAACCTAAAAATAGGAAAGACTGGAACTTGACAAGAACTTTTATATGGTTTTCTTTCAATGATAACTACTGAAAAACTTGACTTCCAAATTTATTACTACTATGAAACAAATTTATAATCACTTTACACATTTACACATGAAAACACTTTAAGCCATAGCAGAACTTAATTTATATCGGCTTAAAGAGTGTGCCACGGCAAGATTCATTGAGTGCATTTCTCGTTTATGGTCATTCAATAAACTATCCAAATTTGCCCGGATACTCCGCATGAGTTCTTGTGTAGCTGCGTTATAAATGCATGGCACATCAAATTTAGCCTGGAAATATAATTTTACTGATAAACATATTTTTTCAATCAGACTAAAAGATAAAATTCATGAGTAACGTTACTTTAATCATATTTCCCAGTTTCACTTCGCCAACGGCTAACTCTTCATGTTTATCCAATTTTCCTTTCAAGGCCTTCTTTAGCGCTTTTGTTAATTTTCCTTCTGATAACTGAGTAGCATTTTCGACTGCTTCAGCAGTATCTTTGAACTTTTTGAAAGAAACTAACTGCAATCTATAATATACGAAGAATTAGATATTTATCATGAGTTCAGTCGAATACAGCAACTTTTTGGAAAAAACATGACTCACATTTCTTGCGCTTTTTCTGGAGTTGAACATTCACTCCAAATATCTTCTACATTTTTCAGTTTTTTATCGTCTAATAGCTGAAATATTGTAATTTATTAAAATTTCTGTGATCAAATTAGACTGAAACTCAATACAACTAAAACCTACTCAAATAATTAATTAGCAGAGAAAATAGCAAAATAGTTATTTACCTTAAACAAAGCATACCCTGCAGGAGTCTCAAACAGCACTAACATGTTTGAAATCAAATCAAAATTCAATTCTTCCTAAAATTCTTACAAAGGTACAACCAATTAATGCAAGATTTCACGTTTTAAAAGAGACTAAACTTTAATGCATGTTTAATTCAAACTACTTCACTTCACTATTAAATACCAAAAAACACAAGAACAGAAAAATGAATGATCCCATAACGTCTATAACAATCATCGGAAGTAGAAATAAAATACCCACAACCGTGAAATACCACATGTGCTAATGAAAAAAATTGAAAATTGAAGTTGCAGGTAGCACAGATGTGTCATAGCAATTACAAGCAATTACCTTCTATCTTTCAACCATTTCATATCATGCTTGTACTATATTATACCACTCAAAATATGCATCTATTTTCAGCTAATATGTTATCAGCATAAGGACATCTTTTTATCCGAAAATATAGATATGAATTGTATTTTCTGTCTGTCGATTTATCCGTGAGTATTTTCGCTTGCATTTCTTAATTTACTCAATTAAATTTGTACCAATAAATTGTTACTAATTCAAATTTCCATACCCTCATAGACAGCATATAATAGCGCAGTTAACTAGATAAAGTCGTTCCTTAAAAATGATCAGTTGAAAGATTCTGCGCACCGAATGAGTATTTCTTCTGTTCATTGGACGCAATTTCACGTGGATAATTCGCTGAAAGATGTGATGTCTGCTCTACTCTATATTTGTAATTTTTATGGGATAATGCTGAAATTACATGAAGTACACAGTATAATAGTTTCTATTATCGTTGTTGTTATTAATGTTCTGATCGCATGTTTGTAAGACTTGCGAGAAATTACTTACGAAGTATTCTATACGAGTTGTGTTAATTTTATCCAATGAATTTACTTTTAAGAACTTTTAGAAATCTTTAATGATCCTTTGTTATCCTTTGTTACCATTTTAATTCATGTAGTTGTAATAATTGCCATTATATTTTATGGCTTAACTAATTTTTTTTCAGTTTTCATCTACTGGAAAATGTTTGAAAGAGATAAAAGGACATGTTTATACTAGTGGGTGGAAGTAATGACAAGAATTAATCAAAAAGAGATATTTAATTTGCATATCGGCCCACTCCCTCAAGTTCGAATTCATTAAGTCAGTGTGTATCAATTGGTCCCGTAACAAATGGTATCCGGTTTGTGTTACGTGTTTCTTTTCGCGCTGAGCAAACCAATTTCTGTCTTTTTTTTGGATTAACAGTGAAACAAATAATAAGACAGTTATCTACATTTAGTTGCAAACTTTAAAAGCAATGTATTGAAAGGCAAATTTTGAACTACCTAAGTTTAGAAAAGCATTACTTTAATTTCCAGTGAACTTTCAAAATCAATGCGTTTTCGATGCATGTGATCGGAATTCTTAACTAGGAGAATTCTGATCACATGGAATAGAAATTCGGTACTGTGAAGTTAAAACCTGTAGTTGTATATGACTGTTGTGCATTGCTGTAAAGTGTTTTTATCTTCGCATTAGAGATGTCTGGACATTGAAGAGATTGTCATAAGTATGATCTTATTTTTCCATATACGACATGACTTAATATGCTAACTTTTTTGCAGATTTGTTCCGCTGGTGCAACTGAAGAATTATAATATTAGTAACTGAAATGTGCAATGATTTAAACTTTACCAGTTGACGAAGTATTTTAGGTTTAAGAATTCAGAAAATTTTCACTATTTACTTTACAAGCTGGTTGTAGCATGCGGTTGTGAGAACTTTGAACTGTTACAAAATATTGTATTATGGAGTGCTTTTCTATCTTTTTTTTGTATTGTAAATTTCAAAGACTTAAGATTTACTTCCAGTTTAGCATCATATTCATTCTAGATGAATAAACAGGTATGTGTGCCATCAGCAGACAATCATGAGCTTCAATGCTTAAAAAACAAAGTAAAAGAGAAATTGCAGGTGTATCCCGATTTCCCAAAACCAGGCATTAAGTTCATGTAAGTCCTTATTTTTGCGGTAATGGATGTGGTCGCTGTTTTGTGGTTTAAGTGTTCAGTTTGCATGAATTTAGTTGCTTTTTCTCAGTGATGTACTTTTTAAATGTAATAAAGACATCAATGTGCGTTTAAATGATATATTAGTTATCGTATTTATGTTTGATCGGTATAAATCACGTTAAAAATTTTTATTCAAACTTAGCGGAAAATCCATGAAACATGTCAGTTATAATTTTTAATCTGGATCGATAAGTAGTATTTGATAGCAATTAAATTACAAGTGAAACATTAAGTCTTCTTAGTTTTAGGTAGTTTGTAGCTGTGTTGCATTGCTAAAGTTCTTTCTAAAATCATGTATTATGATGCCATATCCATTTTTGCTTCTTGAGAAATAAGGTGCATTTCAGAGATATTATGCCACTACTGCGTTATCCATTACTGCTGGAGCACTTATGTGAAGCTATAGCAAAACATGCCCAAACAGAAATACCAGTAAAAATCGATGCGGTCGCTGCTTTAGAGGCTCGTGGCAAGTATTCCTTGCATTCATATATTTAATATATAATTAGTAGAAAGCATTATTTTCAAATAAAATCAGCCCTCATAAAATAATATTAGAAGAAAATTTTTGTTTTCTATAATAAATCATGATACTTTATTGTAATTATTATATGGTGTAGGTTTCTTATTCGGTCCCCAAATCGCGTTCATTTTGAAAGTACCTTTCGTCCCGATCAGGAAAAAAGGAAAACTACCTGGAAAAACACATAAATTGGCTTACCAAAAAGAATACGGCGAAGTTAGTTGTGTTTCATCTATTTCTTCTCCAATGTAAATAGTTCGAAAAATCTAGTTTTTGCAACTTTAAAAAATGAAGTTCAGCATATGTAAATTTTTTTCTTTTGCTTATTGACAGCACAATTTTAGTTTTACATGGCATACGTGAATATTTTCTCCAAAACCAGAGCATTGAAAATAAGATGTTTTCAAGAAATGTAATAGCAACTGTTATCAATTCTTAAGTCTTTGCTACTAGACTCTTCAGTATTTCCCTTTTTTTAATTAAAAAATATTATGTACAGGACGTAATTGAAGTGCAGGAGGATGCAATCAGTCAAGGTACAAAAGTTTTGTTGGTGGATGATCTACTAGCAACGGGAGGTACTTTAAAAGCAGCTGCATTGCTAGTTGAAAAAGCTGGTGGTGATGTAGCCGAAGCCTTTACTTTGATAGAACTTGCTTATTTAAATCCACGAAAAAATTTGCCTGAACATATTCCTATTCATACTTTGATAAGTTTAACTGAATGAAGTTTGAATGTTCATTAGTTTTAGTATTTATGTAAGATAAATTAGTTGTTATGTGTGTTCTTGACAGCTTTGTATAAATTTTCATATCTCAAATAAATTGTGTGTATTCATCAAAAAATTATTTTGGTATAAAAACCCGAAATCAGCAATTTCTATTTATTTGAATTGAATGTTTTCATGGTGCAGTCTGGATAGAAAAAGAACTGGGAATTCTCGAATAACAACTTTTTAAACAAAGCTGCCAGATTTTCGGTTTTACTATGCTTTTTTTAATTATGCTTAATTATCATTTTTGTATGCTTCATTAAGAAGCGTTGTTTATACATTGATTATGCATTGAGCATTTGTATAGTTATAATGAATTCCGATTTCTCTGGAGAAGTACTTGATGTAGTAGCAAGAAGTTGCTTGCTCATTTATTTATCTTAACTTAGTTTTTTGCCGTTATATTTCTTAACATGGTATGATTATGTTGCAGCGATTAACCATCGATCCTTGTACTCGTCATTAAAAAAAAGTGTGAGGGCAATTGAAATTTTTGCAGTTCGCTTACTTAATGGTGGATTCAGACGACAGCAAGATAAGCAATGGATTCAATGTGGCTAAAATTTATCCTTCTTATTACAATGGTTGCAGTCACTTTTATCGCAGGGATGGTTCCAGTTAAAGTATGTTTTAAAATTTAAAAATTAAAAAGATTCGTGAGTTCCAGGAACTGGAAATGGTATTATATATGGTGCGGTTTGATCAGGTTCTAATGAATGTTTTCATCCATTGTATTTCAAGAGTTCGTGGTACTCGGGATTTTACAGTGTTAAATAATTGATTTTAGGTGTTGAAAATTCTAAGAAAACATGCAGCATCGGCATCAACATCAGCTCAGCATCGACATGCCTCCCTGGTTCTATGTTTACTAACTTGTTTTTCTGGTGGTGTTTTTTTCGCCACATGTTTTTTGCATCTTTTCCCTGAGCTTACTGAACGCCTTCATGAGGTAATTTTTTCAGATTATATCTGTTTGCAATTTGTAAATTGGCATATTAATATTATCTTTCAATCTAATGCTTTTGGTTCTTAAAATTTTTCTGCATATCTATCCACCATAGTTGTTAAAAGTTTAATTAAAATTATCATATTATAAAAAGTCATATCAACTTTCACTTTTTTGCTTAATTGAATATTAAGCTAGCTCCAGTGTTACACATATAATTGGTAAATTTTGGTGTTTTTAACGAAACGGGAAAAAAAACTTTCAGTGCCTTTTTAGATTAAAGAGGAATATGCAATTTCCATATCATATCCGTTAGCCGAATTACTATCATGTATCGGTTTTTTTCTTTTATTTTTTATTGAGGAAATCATTCTGCTCTTCTTACCTTCTGGCCATGCACATGGTTTAACAGCCACTGAAGTTGGTGAAAGGTTACACGAACGGTAATTTAATTTTGAATTCAATTCTTCAAAATCTGCGTAATTTGTTAGCTCACATTGTAGTAAGGAAGTCCATTAAGAGAAACACTTTGCAATAAATTAGATCCTAATAGCCTTCGCAATAAATAAATCTTAACAGCCTCGTGGTTAAATTCACTTATATTTAATTATTCATAGCCCTTGAAAAACCTACTCTTTTGAGGGGAAATTTGGTAACTAAGTACACTTGATCTAAGTTTCAGTTAAGAAGATATGTAAAAAATTGTCATTGGGGAAATTTGTTGCTAGCTGTTGACTTAGCATTACAAGTTTTTTCATATTTTCTGGAAGTCTTGGTCATACCACATGTTTTTATTGATATAACCATTTTGCTCTTTTTTTAAAATATTAGATTTAAAAATATTTGAGTTCTAGAAATCATGATGATCACTGTTGCCATGAAAATGTTCATACTGACGTTCCTTCGAAAAACTGCTCTTCATGTGGTCCTAAAGGTAAGCTTCAGTTATCGATTTTACATTTTAGCTCATATAGAATTGTCATTTATTGTATTGTAGATGAGGAATCATCTAGAAAAGGTCTGTTGTGTCAAAGGAATTCTTCTCATCGGTCATCATCATTAGAAAGCCAACATGCGAAAAAAGAATCACATTACAGTCACCACATTGAGTAAGTGTGTTGCAGTTTTTGCTTTGGTTATTTAAAAATGCATGTCATCGGTTGAGTGTTTTGTTCTATCTCTCATCTTTTTGATATCTTTCATCTTTGCACGATGTGTTGAAGAAAAACGCATGTTCTCTTTAAAATGGTTTTTCAGTTTTTAAATTACTTTCAAGATTTTGATTGCATTCTTTGTTTGCTAAAAACTGAAATTCAGTGGAAAAGACTCAACGCCTTTGCTTCGGCAGTATGACAATGGCAAATATGGCGCTGTTTCTCGGGATTCTAGTCAGTCATCTGGCAAACGGAAGTACATATTTGCACCTATTTTTCCTGACGATGATAATTTTTTACTGATTGGCCTTTAACTTTTCATTTATCATAGTTGCATGCATTTTATCTGTCTCCTGTTGTTTAATATCTATTCACTTCTTCCTAGTAATTTATTTTGCATGCATCAGGCGGAAGATTATGTGCCATTTCTTGTCTTTTTGGATCATTCTCAGCATTTTATTAAATGTAAGAGAGCTTAAAATATTATACAAATCTTAAAAATGTATAAATGTTTGGTTAGTGCAGAAAAAATTTTATTTATTGAATGGTGAGATATTAGTAGACTTCTATTTTCTCAGCTTTATGAAAAATTTGAAAAATTGATTATATAGTTTCAAACGTAATTGCGCGTGGTCTTCAGATACTGTTTTTCGTACTTTATGCACTGCAATATATCAAAGAACTAGTAGGTCATTTGTCATTTGTCGATTATTCAAAAATTCCAGAAGAATTTTTGGAATTTTTGAATCAACATAGAGCTTTTAAAATTGTGGATAATTTCTTTTTTATTGATTACTTCTGGTCTATTTTAGAACTTTGACATTAGCAGAACCTGAAGCGTGCGAGCGGAATTGTGATAATATCAAAGAAGATCCACCAATTTTAATGAAAAGTCGTCGTCATGCTCACAGTCATGGTGTTCGTAGCATTACATTTATACTAGCTATATCGTTTCATTCTATTATTGAAGGTCTAGCATTTGGTGTGCAGGTTTGTGTTTGAATTACAAAAAAAAAGAGCCTTTCAAACGTAGAAAATATTTTGCCTTGGAAAAAGTTTATGAATCTTACTTTTTCTATTTAAAAAAATAACTGCTGTATTGTTTAGTGACCCTCTATTATCTTAGCCCTCATTTGACTGTTTTACAGCTTCAGGAAAATGTTATAGTGCTTTATTTTTTCCTTAATTTGTTGCAGTCAGATAAAACTCGAATAATAACTCTGTTTATATCGCTAATGGTTCATAAAGTTATTGTGGCATTTTCCGTTGGACTGCAGTTGGCTCGTACTCATGCCCATGCTTTAGGCTGGGTATCTGTGAGTATGGCTCTTTTATCAGTTATGACGCCACTTGGTGGTTTTATTGGTACATATGTTCAAAGCTCACAAATGGATACACAAATTAAAGCCTTGACTATACTGATTTTGCAAGGAATTGCTGTCGGCACATTTATTTACGTCACATTTTTTGAAGTAAGTTTACTCGATCTCTTATTCATATTTTGAGGTTTCGGTAGATTAAAATTTATGTATTCGATCTATATCGCCAATATTGTGACAACCATTTAACCGAGGTCGACATCAAGGGCTTGCATAATTTAAATAATTCTGTAATAATTTTGATTTATAGGTTTTATTGCATGAACGAGATAATGAACACCCGAATCTTTTGAAGCTAGTTTTTATGCTGATAGGATTTGCATTGATTGGTGGACTGCGGTTGTTTGACAATCACTCTCATTCGCATAAATCCCACATGGAAGAAGATGCATTTATTACATCACCTCCATGACATACTCTTTTATTTCTGGTGCATGTCTTTATTCCCTACAATTGGAACGAAATGTATAGGATTCCCGCTTTTACTCTAAAGGCTAGAATTCTATTTATAAAAGGCTATTCCTATCTATTCTACCTATTTTTCTGCTTCTGATTGTAAAATAACAAGCATTTATGTTGACCATATACCGTGTTTTACAATTAATTTCTGGTTTCTGGAATTGTCTTTGCTAAGTTTCTGGACTTCTTTTTGCTCACTTTTTCCGACTTAATGGAATTTCTTAATGTAGAAGTATAATACGTGTGACGCAACCAGTTCTAACCCAGTTTTGAGATGAGAAAATACAGCATTTCTGATTGAAAAAGTTGATTACTAATGTCATTACTGAGAAATAAAAATGTCTACTAAAGTGAAATTTGACTTATTACGCAATGGCTAGAATTTATATTCTATCATTCTACAGTACGTTATACATTTGAATGATTTGTGTTTGCGTTATATTCCGACATTATATCGTATATTATATATTATACTCTCGTGTTTCTGAAGCTTTATATTTTTTAAAACATTGAAATGTACAGAACATGGACCTATGACACCGGATAAGTAAGCAACAGTGAAGGTAATTGTGAGAGAATAAATTTTACAAATATTTCGAATGAGTATGAATTGTTCTGGAATGAGACAACTAATTATTTTTGCACAGTGACGCACAATTTTGTAATTGCATATTGTGAAATGAAAACGAACCAAATAAATACGATGTTAATAATTTTAAATAGATCAAAGAGATACAGACTAGAGATGCGAATGTTAAACTTGATTCAAGGTTTACCCTTCTGATCTATAAACATTTTAGTCGCATCACAGAAGGAAATATATCATGTGAAAGCAACATATGAGCATAATACAAATAATCCAAGCTTAAACAGTTACAAACGATGAAGTACGGCAAACTTCAGTGGTCCTTCAGGTCGTGAGCGGAGAGTTTTCGTTGCTTCTAAATAACTCATGCCCCTAATATCAATTCCATCAATTGTAGTCACCTGGTCTCCAACTTTTATACGGCCACTTCGTGCTGCAGAACCACCTGGGAATGACTACTTTTAATAAGAAAACACGTGATGACAAAAACTATCGTAAGTGATCTCGAGATTTACTATTACTGATATTAAAAGGGAAATTACGGCAAAAAAAAAAACGGTAGAAATATGGAAGGAAGGTATTTCAGTTACTTCCCGAATTTCAATCGCTTTCTTAAAACTTAAGCATTTTCTGCAGCTGTGCTTTCCCAGTTTAAAATGAATTAGTTTACCCTCAAAAACTCGTTTAATAACGATTGGTCGATCCCCAAACATGGAACCGCGTCCACCGTCAAGTGCTAAGCCAACACCAAGGTTCCCTTTGGTAAGTACTACTTCCTCAACATCTGTTGAATAGTTGAAGAGATTGGGATCGGCAGTAACTAAATTAAAAAAAATTTACTGCTTTCTTTTTCAAACCAGTTTTTTCTAGCAAAAATTATTAGTACTTTTTTGTACACAGTGACCGATTAAAATAGTTTTACCACCAGACATAAATTTTGTTGGTTCGACCGATGCATCAAGCAATTTCGATTTCAACCGTCCAAGTACGAAGACTACATGTTCAGTTTTTTGCTTAATTAAAATTCTCGCATCTGCCGCTGACATCTGAAACATTAAGCGTCTTACCGTGCTTGCTAGTAACAGAATCAAAGTAACGCATGAATATGTGAGCTTTACTGCAAGTAATGATGATGATATGTAAGGTGAAATAAACTCATCATTAAAAAACATTTCATCGCATATTCAAAGTAAATCAATAAGCATCAAGTAACCTGTTTTGTTGAATGGCCTTGCACAAAAAAAACACGATCACCTTTTTCAATTAGATCGCTACGATCCGCGATACTACCTGATATCACCCGTTGCACCTGAAAAATATGTGGGATTAATTTAGTTGCGATGTTTTTTTCACAATACCTTCAATAAAACTCACAGAAATATAACGGTCACCGGATGCTGCTGAACTTAAAGTAACACCAACTGAACCTTCCGGATTACTTGCCGATCTTTTCAGTATTACTTTGAAAATCTCGTAATCGACAAATTTGTCATGCAGCAAATTTTTACATTCCAACAACTGAAATTCAGGATGATGTTTCCTGAACAATAACACACAATCTTTAAGTAAAAAAAATTTTTAACAGTTAAACAAGCTGTAGCAAGGCGGAAATGCACTTCCTTACAATCAAGCAAATTAGAGATCAAACTAATTCTTCTATTTACTGTAATAACAGAATCTGAAAGAGCCATTATTACTTTAGAAAAATTTGAAAAATCTCAACTATCTCATTACTCAAAGAAATTTGGAAATTATGTCTTACTTCCGATTCAGATGGTTGACAACGACTGTGTAATTCGTCACCTGAGGTGACCTCTCGAAACGTCTGGAGTGCCACATGTTCAGCTTCATCAGCTTCAAGTGGCCTTCCGATCACATCATCTGCGGTGATATCCTCAAACCTCGAAAAGTCAAGTCCTCCAGCGGTACTTTTTACAGACACTGCTTCTAAAAATTTATGTAAGCAATCTCATTGCAAGAAAAACTTTTTTAAAAACAAGTGACTTAGGAGTTACTTATTCCAATTCTGATTTTATCAGCGCTAATCATAAATATAAAAAGAGCAGCAAAATTCGAATTAACCTTGACGAGTCGCTTGATTTCTGTAATTCGTTTCCTTAGCAATACATTTTTGCTGAATTACTTTTTCCACATCTTCGTTTCTAATGTTAACAAAACCATTTTCTTTGTCTAACTTTTCTTCACGTGCCTCCGAAATGCCTGTTGATCGTAAATTCGTAGAAAGAGATTTTCGTTGAGAATAGCATTCCTGGATTGGATTATTTTTGATATCCTTCATACTAATTTTCGTAACCGTATTCTCCTTTGATAACAATGAATGCTCAATTGCTTCTGAATCCTTTTCTCTCACAGACAACGATTTTTCTGGTAAATCCTTTTGCTTCAATGTCGCTACCTCAATATTCGTTGAATCCTCTGTTTCAACATTCCTTTCAATATCAGTACAAATTTCTTTGTCAACACCAGAAGAGATAGCTGTTTCAAGTCCTGCATCCTGAAGATGATTCCTCTAGCTGAGTATTTTTAATCTGTTAAATGCTCTCAAGAATTCTATTTGCATATTAGTAACTTCTGAATATAAAAGTGCTACAAGTAGAAGTTGATAATAGGGCTTATTTATTCACTTCCAGTTAAATGGCTCTTAATTATGCAAAATTAAATGCCTAATTTGTACCTTACTACATTTATTCATTATTTAGCAATCACCATTCAGTGTGAATATTTCGATGAATGAGAAACCTTTTCAAAAGTTGCTTTCGCTTTCGCAAACGGAGTGCCTGCCTTAGAAGAAGCATTAAAATTTCCTTGGATTGCCCCAAATTTGCTTCGAGACGTTTCAGCGGTAGGAGACTTTCTCTCAATGAAAGCGTGAATACTTTTTGCTGGTGCAGTGATGGAATTCACTGAAGTTCCTTTCAAGAAGCTAACTTTCCCTGCTTTGGTTTCCTTTACAACCGAAACATTACTGCTAGTAGTGTGTTGAATAGGTTTCGGTTTTGGAATCACACCATTGTCGGCTTTTGTAAACTACAAACTATGTTACTGTTATAAAAACCATCATCAACCATGCGATATAAATAAAAATAAAAACGCAGAAAAATGTAAAAAAAAAATTGACAAGCTTACTATTAAAAGAGAGACCTGATATTGACAAAGCTAAAATATGAAATTAAAAGTTTTACACAAATTAAGCTAGAGCATTATTTTAGTACTAGAATGGATAAGCACTTCTGGTACCTTGCACATTTTTTAAGAACGTACCTTTTCAATGAGTTGACTGAACGGAACCGATTTTTCACTATCTCTCGCACGACGTGAGATGAACGACACCATAGACTTTTCAGACTTTTCATTGGACCTTGTTGTAGTGGGAATCATTCTATCACTACTCTGCTGATATTTCGATTTTTCAAAATCTGATGAATCAGAATTTTTGGATGTAAAAGAAAGTGTCTTCTCGGATAAAGTTAAATCTGGAGGAGAATGCTCAAAAATAGATGACCTGCTATTCCTTGCAAGAGAAATAGAAGTTTTGCTAAAATTAGCTGATTCTTCAGCACAAAAATTAGTCGACTGTGCAAGTGAAGACCGATTAGATTTAGTTATTGTTTTCAGTGACTCGGAACTTGGAGTTTCTTTCAAAGAATCAGTTTTTTTATGTTCATAACTGTCCATTTTAGACGGCAGCGGCTCAAACTTCTGTAAACTGGCAGTATTAGCCGGAGATTCCAATGATTTTTCTGGCAGCAAGTAAGCAGAATCTCGAGAAAATCTGGTAATTCTAGAAGCAGCACTAGTGATCTGTGTGAAATTCGCAGGAGATAAAGTGGTGGTGCTGCTGCTACTTTCCTCATCGGCATTTGCCAATTGATTAGATAAGTGGGGCAAACTCGGTCTAAATTTTGTGGTAGGTACAAATGATGTGAAACGAACTGTTTCCGTATTAACATCTGATTTTGACTTCATCGCACGATTAAACTCAGCATCTGAATCATGGCAGTCCTTACAACTGGTGCATTTATCAGAATTCACCTGCAGAATACCCGGCTTTGTTACAAATTCAAGATCACGTGATAAGATTTGCAAGGGAGGTTCTTCAACACTGGTCTCGCATCTTCCCTCACCAAATTGTGGAATAGTTTTAGATGGACAAAGTACCACTACCGGTATTATTTTAGGTGTGATATCTGATTGTATAGGTGAATCAGGATCAGACATATAGCTAACAGATGAAACAGATGACGATTTGACGTCAACCAGTGTAGGTTCAGCACTAAATTTGAGCCTAAAAATGTAGATTAGATTAACTATATTTGTAAAAAAACCTTTTCATTCACCCCTTTTTCCTTAGTGCAAACTTTTTTAAATCATAATTTTGTGATACTTTTGCTCATTCACTCCTTCTACAATGTGAGGAATACCTTCAAATGAAATTAATTTGGGATATTTTATTGATTTTGTGTTAAGATAATTAGTATTCTTTTAAAAAATTAATCTGTTACAGAACAATAATTACGAAGAAAGTTTCAAATTTACATTTGATGAAAAGGTGGCTGATTGTCGATGCTTGTACTGCTATCGTGTAGCGCTTTCCCGGTACTATTTTCTAACTTTTTCTCGCTCTCATCAAAATGTGATGATTCATTAGAATGATACAATGCTGTGGTAGGAAGATCCATGGACTTAGAAAGCGTAGCACAAGTTGCTTCTGGCTCAACAATCAAGCTTGAAGTACTGAGACCACTCTTGATTCTCTCTTCCCCTGATTCATTTTCATTAATTTTCGGATACAGCTGCACCTGTGATGCTTCAGACTTGTTTTTTTCCACCAAGCAACTGCTATTTTTACGTGATTCATCTTCAATATCATCATCAACAGCTAGTGTGCAGTGACGATTCATATCCTTCGCAAACTTCTTTGAAAAGGATGTTGTACTGAAAGGCGACAAGTAGCACTCATTATGTAACTGCACTTGAGAGGTACCCGAGGTTATGGGAGAAGTGTTTGTTTCAAAAGGAAGTTGAACTTGTTCAGAATTAAGATTACTCGATCTTGAACTTTTGTCATAAAGATTCGACTCAGAATGTGATGTCATGCTGGTAGTGACATATGGTGGTGATATTGACTGTCTCGAGGGAGCAATCAACGGAGCGCTTATTGCAGATGAAGGCGATCGTATATCTTCGTTATCTTGTAAGGGTAGACGAAGTGCATCCTTCAGAAAATTCGGCCGACTGAAAGAGAATAGATATGATTAGCTGCAAAATGATGCATCAATCAGACTGATCAGCAAAACAAACTGATTCAATCTTGCAAGGAGTCAAACGATTAAAAGTAGTACTTGGCAGCAAAATGTCGATCGAATTCATCGAATAAAGGACTGGAAGGATCAGGATCTGAAGCAAATACGCTGACATAAGTTGGCTTATGCTTGATGTTAGCTCTACTTTTGGAACCATGACTTGGCTGGTGCTGTTGTTTCAATGAATGATCTCCATGAAATCCGGAATCGTTACTGCTTGGAGAATGACTATTACTACTACCTGTGGTCTTGCTGACTGCGCTATTTGATGGAATGAAATTGTTAACAGCATTGGTAGGACGCAATGAAGAAGATAAACTGCTCGTATTTAATTCTAAAGTCATTTTCATACCTGAAAATGCTACCAACAAATACAAAAGCAATTAGCTCACATCTACAATACCAATCATACATTTTTGTTCATGTCTGCTGCACAAAATTGACATTAAATTAAGTTTAAATCTGCAAAAAATAAAGTCTTCAAAACGAAACTGATACGGAGGGACAGTAGTAATTCTTTCAAATATACATAATTAGATATATCCTCCTCAACAACTCTTCCTTTTCTCCTTGCAACATGTTGAGCTTTCTGAATGAAAAAACAAGACATACTAAGAAATTCGGGCAGAATTCTGCTTAAAAATGTTTCACATGCGAAAACTTAGCTACGAAAGAAATAGTACTGAACTAGACTTCTTAATTTGAGTGACTAATTAATAAATCATAAGTGATGACGATGCCTTATGCCTTGAAATTTAACATCTCGACACTGCTTAATCACTTCAGTAAGCTGAAAAAGTTAGGAAAAGATGGAACCTATTCATCGGCAAGTATTCTCTTTCGATGCAAACACATTCGTTCTATTACTGAACTGAATAAAAAAGGATTTATGGATGAGTCATTAGTCAAAAAGTGGTAAGAAATTGAAATTTCAGAGAAGCACTGAAATGCATCAAATATTTTCCTGCTTGCTTTATGACTACTACTGCTGATGGAGTGAGCAAAACAACATCACACCTTATGTATGTATTACATGTCAATGACTTAGACAGTATGAAAGTTTGCACAGAATATAATGTGTATAAAAGGTTAGCTATACTTATCAAGACTGATGGTATATGTATATGTATATGTATATGTATATGTATATGTACATATGGACTGAGTCAACAACAACTATGCATGATTCAGTGCAGAAGAAATAATTGAATGCATGAATAAGTAAATGCTTCCATGTTATTGCCATATTCTTACATCTGTATACAACATGTAGCTCTTATATATGAGCTATATACATGTTAGTCAAAAATTAAAACTGTACAAGAACTGCTCAAGATTTACTTCTCAACACGTATAAAATGTGCATATTAATTTGCTGTTCTCTACTATAATAATAATAATAATAATAATAATAATAACCAGAAGAACGTGTACTTAGCTTAGCTCTCTTGCATATTTTATATGCTTCATTCACTTTATTATTTATAAAAATAAATGACTTGAAGGAATGTCATTTCTGTTTAAAGTCGATAAACACTGAAAATAAAAGGAAAATGTAAGAAGTAAAAATAATTAACTAAACGTCCAAACAAACAAAGTTTTCTGTGCTATGTAAGCAGAGATGCAGCACTGCGCAATGCATAAGAAAGAAGCGTAAGATGTAAAGTAATAACAAATAAACAGGAATCTCAGTCAGTTATGTGCTACATATATGCTGCAACTGCTTCTATCAGATTTCAAGACTGTCTTGAAGGAAAAAAGTGCCTAGTCTAAGCCATAATAATTTCAGACATAACTGAAATTAGTTTTGTATTGAATAAAAAACGAAAAGTGAAGAAGTCATCAATCAGTAAAGTGTTAGCAAGTGGAGCGAGCACAGGTGGCAAAATTTATGCATCATTTAACAAGGATCTGAAACTTGCTAGCATACATGCATGTGCTACAAAAAATAAAAAAGTATTCAATAATATTATTTGCGTAGAAACAAAGACTGAAGAAAAGATACAGAAGTTAGTTAATTCTCATTGCAATCTTCAAGTACTGCCATAACAAAAGCATTAATTATGATGAATTCAGCATGCATAAAGTGCTTCTCGGCTGACAATAGGCAAACAGATGCTACTACCATCAGTAGAGTGAATAACTAACAAATATTAAGTAATTCTTAACATAATTCTGCATCTGTCTATAAGAACTAACTTGTAAATAAAAATTGCGTCATTCTTGAAATATTTCTAACATTTAACAAACTCGAAGATGTATCTATTTGTGTCACGTATCATATCACAGATAACGTGTAATCTCTGAAAAAAATCTCAAAATTAGAAAATGTTTTATGAGGCAAAAAAAGTAAAACGAAGGCAGGAATTCGCTGCTATCACTTTTCTGAAGGAACAGTAAACAAGCAACACACATATCGTTCACTGTAACATAATTATCTTTCATTGAGTCATGATGGGGCACTGGTAAAATTCCACGAATTTCAAGCGAACAATTTATTCAAACTTTAAATTTTTACATAGATTTTTTTAAACACACCTCACCAATAACTATGAAATATCGTATAACTAAGCATATATGGAATTTAAGCAAGAAGAACACAATTACTATAACTGATATCATTTCAGAGATAAAGTCAAACTTTATAGCAACTTTTCTACCTTTACAGAAGACTGATTTTGCTTCTGAAAATTTCACAAAAAAGAAACAATAACGAGACATAATACAGAAATACCAAAAAAATACCATTGATAATATTATTAGCCAATTATATCATTCTTATGTTTCAGATACAGAGTACAACTGCAGAGTAATGCACAGTTCTTATGAAGCAATCAGCGAGTCTACGCAATAAAATTGCTATATAACCTGATATCGTTGAGAATCAAAAGCGAAAATGAATTAAATACGAGTTAGATGCAAAATGACTTTCTATCGTCAACGATTCCGATAGATTTTACAACAGCTGCACTTAAGTATTTACTCCACACGTGCGTGTATAACAACAAGAAATCATAGAATCATTACAAATCAACGTAACATTTACAATACGAAATAAAGTACGCACTTTAGATATAGTTCAATCTTCTAATCTCATTCCATTCCACTATAAGCTTAAAAATAAATTGACAAGAATGTGTAAACGATAGTAATGGTTAAAGTGAATTTAAAGAAGATCATTGCAATAAACATCTGAAGCAGAAAATCTTAAAATTTCTACCATTAGAAATGAACGACTTGCTTTACGTTTCTTCAACGCTAACATTACAACGCTCATTCTTCATTGTTACCACTCGCAACGACTGATTCTATACTACAGTTTCCAGAAGCAAACAAAAGAATAATACTTCTATTCATCTTCAATATAACTCACTACCATGAAATTTTTTAAAACTAAGCTAGCACAAAAACATTTATGGAATTCTAATTCTGCTCTTTAACTGTAATTGAGTTAAATTCATTTAACCTTCGCTATATGCAATCAACCCATACAAAAGTACATCACTCATTGTAATATTTACTAACTGAAATCACAAAAGAGATGTGATCTAACGTTTAATTACAATCCCATTCACGCCATTCTCACCAAAATGAAACACACAAAAAATTATTTTTAGTGAAATGTATTAATTAGTCGTTTTATATTTCTATACGTAATCCATTAGAATATTAGATGAATTTGGCATAATTAACCTACCTCAGCAATCATGCGAAAAGTCTGCACAATGACATGACATAAGAAATATAGCAAGTCATGTAGTTATTGAAAAAATCTGTCCTGACTCATTTTGCATACAGCAATAAGAAGTCCGCATATACAAAATACATTTATTTACATGAATGCTCGAATTTTGAAAGCAAAAAAGCTGTAATAACTCAGAGAAAGAATGTTTGTCTTGTATATTTATTACACAATGAGCAAAAGATAGAACAATTCCAACACTTTAAAGGCCTTTTTAGCGAACCAAAAACTCTCATAAGCAAATGTATGGAAATCAAGCAAAGATATAAAAAATAAAGGAAATTGTGCAAAATTAAATACAAGCACGCTAGTTGTTTCAACTGAGAATGCGTTAAATTGCTTAGAGCTATTCAGGAAAAGAAGTACAAGAAGGAATCAACAAATGTGCAATTGATGGAATCTAACGCTAAATATATCCAATTGCATAAATTACATTCAAAGCATTTTTTTCTTGGCTATAGCAAAAGAACAACATACTACTGAGATCAGCAATCTTACACAGTTCTTATATTATTAAAAAAATAATAAAATAAAAGATGAGAGATGAAAAACATAGATGGTCAGAGCAGAGGGCTATTCTAAAATGACAAATGGTCATCTACTACTAGTAGTTAAGATGAAATAGACAAACAATATAACAGTGCAAATAGTGGAAAAAAGAGTGAAATGACTCTAGTATTACAGATTGACCAAGTCAAGTCTGCAAAAATTATTCTAATAGATGCTTAAAAGCAGTGCAAAAATAAGCAGTGTGGGAGATAATCATATATGTAATTAGTTGAAAAAGCAAAGAAGAAATTATATCCAAAAAGCTCACATATTAATGAGCAAATGGATGAAAAAATTTGAATACACAGTTAGCTTAATACTTGATAAAAATGTAATCAGAATATAAGCCAAAAAGAATTATTACAGTAACCTGTGAAAACTGTAATCCATTTTTTGAACGATACAGCCATGAAATTACGCAGAGGAGTATTTCAATTATAAAAATGACAAACAATTATTTAAAGCATTTGACATTAGACTAAAAATGAATTCTAAGAAATTTGATTTGTTTTCGGTATATATTAAAAGTATTACTATTACTTTCAAGAGTTTTTAGCGTATTTCACGTGAGTACTTTGGATTGAAAATGTAAAACATGCAGAAGATGTGAAGTTAGGGCAGTTGTAATACAAAATTGTAGTATTTCAATGACTAATATTTTAATAAAACATGTTACACTTTATATAGCAATCAGCTGGAATTTACAACAAAGCTGAAATCAACTCATCTTTGTTGAGTGCAGTAAATAGATGCATCGATTGAACGATATTCAAAACCGAACAAGAATATCAGTAATAAATTCAAAGAATTTAATTGCATTGTGAATGTTACGTGATGTGATAATAAGTGAAAAAGTGTAAAATGACATCGTTTGATTGAATGGAATAATTGAAAGAAAAATAATTGGCTTAAATGTATTAAATTGCAAAAAAAAGTGCCACAAAAGTGCTACAAAAACATTCATATTCATCATAATATCAGTAACGTGCAAAAACAGATGCAGCCTATTACTACTAAGACAGCCAGCCAGATATCTTCCATTTCTATTTCACGAGCTTTGCTTCGAAAAATATGAATATATATATATATATGTGCTTAATAATTTGTGAGATTCTATAAAATAATGTGACTAGAAGTTGATGAATTTCAACAAGTATAAGTATAAAAATTAATGAATTCATGCGGCCTTCTCCTCACAATTCCGATTACACCAAACAAAAACTCTTGTTATCTTTCTTTGCTTGATTCTTTGATTTTGAATGATTGATTCTAACACAACAAAAAATTTCTCCCAACAAAGATTCTTTGCATAAAACGGTAATCACGTCTGCATAGTTCGCCGTTATCAATAGCTGTGAAAGTTATTGATAACAACACTTAACAACGCCCTCACGCTAAACAAACACTGACAAGATTAAAACTGATGATGCTATGTTGGTGCTTTCCTAATCTTGCTTTCACCATCTTCTGCAATACATCAACAAATCGTTGCTGTCTTCAAGCATTCGCAAATGAAACTGATAACATTTTATATCAGCAACAAAAGTACTATTTATTTTTGCTTGATTTTTTGATTTCTGATCCATTTCAATCCATTCGTCCATATAGATTACTTATTTCTCTTAGCCTAAGTTCTGTTCTTTTTTTCACTCCAAAAGCATATGTTTGATATTTGAATATCAAATAGCTATGATTTTGCTTTAATTTATTTTCTATTCAAAAATATTGAAAGAATTGATTTGTTGTCAATTGCTGACAAATTCAGAATTTTCATATTTCAAGTAGTAGTAAGTATCTGAGCAAATGTTTAGTCTAATTATTAATTAATACGTGCAAAAACGACATACTACTACTACTAAGGAAAATGTCAGAGTGATACAAGTAGAAAGAGATGCGAGTGGAAGAATTCAAATTTAGCACAATCCTCCCTTCTGTACAAGAAAGGAAGAAGAACAGAGGCAATCTGGAGGGAGTAGGAATGCTTCTGAAATAGTGCTGATGAATTTTTGAGCAAAAACAGTTTTTTCCTAAAATTTATATTGTCAAGGTCATCTAAAAGCAAAGAGTATCAAAAGAGTGAAAAAAAATTTGCATCAAATAAGGTAAAAATTGGAGCAAATATCTGGTATATCTGGAAGAAGTAATCATTTTAAGATATGTCGTAAAAATGACAGATTCTATGAGAGTTATTGATTGTTTTGAGAGGCAATTTGGAGGAGAATAGCAAGAATGCAATGAGCAGCTCATTGTTAAGCGAGAAGCAATGATTGTAGAAGAGGAGGAGAAGAGGGACAGCAAAAAGTGAAGGAATTCATCTACGTTAAATGCCCTAAAATACGAATGAATGAAGGAATGAATGAATGCATAAAAACTAAAAAATAAATAAATATACAATACAATTAAATAAAAGGCAAAAAGGAGGAAAGATTCGTTTGTTCAATTGCATACAAACAAACTCGCGCAATAATTAAATGCAGTAAGTTTGTGGTGCATATTTTATATTCAAATTTTATCACTTTTACATTTTCACTTGTTTTTTTGAAGTAATTAATAGTAGATAGGTAGATGACTAGATGGATA